GCTGGGGGATTGAACCGCGGTCCCTGATGCTTTACTAAGCTTGTTCTAAATAGGTGCTTTAGACCACTGAGCCATCTCTCCAGCCCCTATTATTTATTTATTTATTATGTATTTGGTACAGAGTCTCACTAGTAGTGAGCCCCTTGTTTCAACCTCCCCAGCGCTGGGTTTACAGGTGTGCACCACACACGTGGTCTTGGTGGCTGACTTGTTGCACCCCGGGTGGGGCTGGCATGGCATGTGGTTCCAGGAATCAAACCCAGGTCCTTGTGCTTGCCTTGACAGATGCTTAGACCACTGAGCTATCTCCACAACCCAGTATTATTTTTAATTACTCTTTGTTTTTACTCATAATATTTGGTATTATATTTTCAATATTTTGGACATAGTAAATTTTGTCTTTCGCAACTGAGCACAATTTTGAGAGGGCTGGCCTGACCACTCATTGGACTAAAGCACTTGCTTATGCAGAGCGCAGCGGCCGGGGTTCAATCCCTGGGCCTGCCATGCTGGCCCCACCCCTGGGGTGCGCTGAGAGGGCAATTGAGACTGGGCATGGTGGTGCACACCTGTAATGCCAGCTCTTGGGAGGCTGTGAACAGGAGAATTGCTACGAGTCCGATCTATATAGTGAGACCCAGAACACCCTGCAGATCCTGCCCTAAGTACAGAAAGAAAAAACAAAGAAAAACAATTGAGCACAATTTTGACATTTATTGTTTTTTCCTTCCTTGAGTCTATTACATAAGACATGTGAAAATTATGGATTACATCACTAACATCAGTGTTTTCATTTTTTAATTTTCCTTTCATCTTTCTAAAGAGTAAAGTGCACAATAGAATTGAACAGGCGAATTTTGTCTGTCATACCTGTGTCCTGAACCACTGCTTACCTTGAATCCCGGCCAAATCAAATTGCTCAATTTCTTGTATATACAAATGATTGTGCAAGTCCTGCTCCAGCAACATGAAAGTTACTGCCAAAGCTCTTTTTCTTTCTCTTTCTTTTGTTTTTTTTTTCAGGCAGAGTCTTGCTATGTAGGTCAGGCTGGCCTTGAACTTACTATGCAGGCCAAGCTAGACCTGAACACATGGTGATCCTCCTTCCTTAGCCTTCCACATGCTGAACTTATAGGTGTTCACTACCATGCTCAACTCATAAAGCTGACCCTTTGACTACAGATGGAATATAAAGATGTAGAAGTTTGGATGTATTTCCATGTCTTAGCAGTTTTCTTCTGCCTGAACAGTTCCTCCAGTGTAAATTTGCTGGTGATGAAGTCCTTCAGCTTATATATATCTGAAAATATCCATATACTGCTCCTTTATAAAAAATATTTTGTGGGTATAGAATTTTAGTTTCATAGTTTTTTTATTTTAGTATGTTAAAGATATTTTTAATTTCTGCATTTTGTTCTCTCTCTCTTTTTAATGTTTTTAGTACAGAGTCTACAGGTTCTCACCACACAGATTGGACTCATAGTGTCCTCCCATTTTAAGCCTCCCAAAGAGCTGGGTGCGCGCCACCACACCCAGTCTCAATCGCCCCCTCAGTGTGCCCAGGGGGCATGGCATGCCAGGGATCAAATCCCAGTCTCTGCATCTGCCTAAGCAGGTGCTTTAATCTGCTGAGCTATCTGGCTGGCCATGCACTGTCTTCTTAGTTGTAAATTTTATGATGTTCCTGTCTTTGTCTTTCTGAATATTTTTCCTTGGTTTTTTTTTTTAAGATTGTCTCTCTGTCACTGTTTTATGTATGTATATATTTAGATGCACTGGGGATTGAACCCCAGGCCTCACCATTGCTACCACTGAGCTACGTCCCTAGCTCTTTATTATTAAATTTGAGACAAGGTCTCTCTGAGTTGCCCAGGCTGACCTTGAACTTGTGATCCTCCTGCCTCAGCCTCCTAACTACCTGTAGTCATGTGTCACCATGCCTCATCTATCACTGGTTTTAAACAGTTTCACTATGGTACCCTTAGTTGTATATTCAAATGTTTCTTTTGCTTGAGGTTCTTTGATCCTCTTCAGTCTGTATTATATCTTGTATTTATATTTTTCATCAAATCTGGAAAGTATTTGGATATTATTTTTAAAAATTTGCTTTTGGGAAAAATTAATAATAGACTAAAGAAAACAAAATATTTTTGGTCTTTGAGCCCCCTCATGTGATTCTATCTTAATTGCATATAATTAGGCTGCTTGAAGTTGTATCACACAGCTCCCTGCTGTTCTGTTCAATTTCTTTTTCTGTTCTTTTTTTGATTCTCCTTTCTCTCTGCTTTTCTATTGATATGTCTTTATCTTATCACTTTTTTCCATGTCTAATCTGCATAGTGTTTACCTCATTATTAGAATCTTTGCCTCCAGAAGTTTGATGTGGCTCTATCTTTCATGTCTATAATCTTTTTGAACATATGAAATCCAGCTTGAATAACTTATGTCCTTATATGGTAATTTCTAACATTTGTGTCTCTTCTTTCCTGGCTTCTTTTAACTGACTCATGCCTTCACTGTGGACTGTGTTCTCACGGTTATTTGCGTGTCTGGTGGTCTTTGAGTAGATGCTAGGCATTGCAAATTTTATCTTACTAGGTACTGGGTATTTTTGTATTACTGTAAATCTTTTTAAATTTTGATTTGAGATACATTCAAGTTATTTGAACTCTGGTCCCTTTGGATCTTGCTTTTTAAATTTTTCAGAGCTGGATGTGGTAGAATATGGCTGTAAATTCAGCACTCTAGAGGCTGAGGCAGGAGGACCCCGAGTTTGAGATGGTATAGGTAAGCTAGTGACTTAGTAAAACCCTGTCTCCAAACAAAAAAATTTTTAAAGGCTGGGGAAATAATTTACTACAAAGCCCCTGGTTTCAATTCCCAGTACTAAAAAATTATTTTGTTGAGAGGGATCAAAGTAATGTTCCTTCTAGGGACTAATTATTACCTATGACTGAGGGGGCTTGCTAGTTAGCTCAGTTATTTAAAAACACCTGCTTGGGAAAACCCTCTCAGGGGCAGGGGACCTCGGTTTGATCCCCACCTCCACATGCCACACCAGACTGACACTTAAGCAGCCTGAGCCGACCAAAAAAAAAAAAAAAAAAAAAAATCCTTCTATTGCCTATGACTGGCCAAGACCCTAAAGTTTATTCCCAGTCCCTTGTGAAACTTCAGGTTTTCTTGGAAGAAGCGGACACTGATCCAGTTCCACAGGAGTGCTGGGCACTTTCCCTCTTGCCCTTTCATTGGTTCTTCCCCTGATTTGGGGTAGTTTCTTCCCAGCATGCAGAGGGTTTCTCTTTGGTCCCCTGGCAGACTCTGTACAGCTTTTTTACTCTGAGCTGTAAACTTCAGCTGCCTCCATGTCCCTGGATTCTCAGCTCTGTCTTCTCACTGAGTCCCCTGGCTCCTCCTAGACCTCTCTGCCCTGTATGTGGCCTGGAATCTCTCAAAGGAGTTAGCTGGGGGCATCTTGTTTATTGCTTCTCTCTCAGGATTGCTGTCCCTTGTTACCTGAGGTTTAGCGTCTTACGAACCATTAATTTTTTTTTATTGTTTTTTTAGATGTTGTAGTTGGGAGGGTAAATCTAATCCATATTCCGGAAGTGTAAGTTCCATTTTTATTGTTCTGCTTTACATAGATTTCTCAGGACTGCTCCTTGAAGGCCTTTTTTATTTTATTAGTATATGTTTGTGATCCATAATAAACACATGGAGTTTTTTCCAGGTCCCTTGATTGGCATTATTTTATTCTTATGTCTAACCTTTCAGAGCACAGTGACTCTTTTTGGGCAGCTCTCTCTTTGAACTATAAATTCATCCCTTTGTTTATGTAGTTAGACAACAAACATTTTTAAGAAACTTGTCCAAAAGTGCTTGAAGCAAGTAACATAAACCTGAAAAACTGCTTCCTGAACAGAAGGAACTTCCAGTCTGCTGAGGTCAATGGGTAAATGGTTAACTCTAGCAAAATGATG